AAAAAAAAAAAATGGAGCCAAGGCCTGAAAAATAAGAGGCATTGAGAATTTTCCAAAGAAGCACATGTGCTCTCACATCTGGAATATTGTTCTCAGCTTTTTTTCAGGGCAACTGATATGCTGAGTTGGAAGGAAAATATATGTGGAATGTTTACTGTAAACATGGAATCAATAAAATATCTTAACTACCAGGATTATCTCGGAGCACTCCAAGTATTCTTTCTGGAATTGGTAGAGATAAGGATTGATAATGGAAAATACTTAAAGGCCAGGTTCTTAATTTACACACTACCATAACCACTTGCTGCGTTAAGAGATCTGAAAAGTGTAGAATACACCCAATGCAAAGCAGGGATGTTACAAACACATTTAGAGGATGCTGTGTCAAATACTGTGGGTCAAGATTAATAGTCTTTTACCAATAAATATGAAAAATATTGCCAAAATAAAGGTAAAAGTTGTCAGGACGAAACTAGATAGGTTTCTACACATTTGTGGAAAATCAGTAAAATCCTCATGGTTATGTAGGCCTGAGGCACTGATGCAATATATTGATTAATTTAGGCAATCACCATGTTTGCCTAGCTGCAGACCAGGTTGCAGGAGTAAAATTGCTCTTGAAACTTGTCATAGGTATGTTACAAGTAAGTATCAAATTAGTCATAAGTGAATAAATATAGGGAAATGGTTGATGGAAGATGCATCTGTAGGGGGCTATGTGCAGCTGCTAGTTATGGTTATTGAGAAAAAAAATAAAAAAAATTAGTATACATACTGTATATAGTAAGAGCCAAGTAGTCTAACAAAGTTAATTTGTGAAAACAGGTAGGTGTACATATTGTAATTAAAGGAAACTATAACTATGATAAATTAAGTTCTATCTGTGTATAGTAGTGAAAGGAATGCATCATATCTGATTATTATTGTATTATGAATATGCCACAGTTCCTCTTCTTTTCAGGAAATAATGTGAGTGTAAAATTTTGTCCTAAGTTTACTCCAGTTTTTAAGTAAACTTAGGTTTATACACCTACCATCCGACTTACGACCGAGTTTGGTTCCGAGAAACCGGTCGTAAGTCGAACTTTGCTACTGAATATCAACATAACATTTTTGTAATGACTTAATTTTATTGTTTTATTTTGGTATTTCATATTTTACTTTACTTTTTATGCTGTTAGTACTGTATTTTATACTGTAGGTTTAGGATAAACACTGTGTACAACACAAACACTTGTTTATTTCCCAGAAATTTGGCATAAAAAACACGGTCGTAAGTCGAGCAGGTCGTAAGTCGGATGGTAGGTGTACTTGTATGTGATTTAATAAATTAGAATAGAAGAGGAAAAGTGGCATATGTAAAGCTTTTGCTCTTTCCTGAGATGACATGTATCTATATATGATGTAAACTTAATTCTTGTAAACTAGTTGTAAATGCATATGAATATTTCCTAAACAAATTTGTTTAAATAACGAAATATTTAAGAGAAATTTTACACACATCATTATTAAAAAATAATGTACTGGGAGAGTTACTAATTATTGACAAGGTAGTTTTAAATTTAACCCTTTGAGGGTCTGTGCCGTAGATCTACGGCTTTATGTTGAGGGTTCAAACCGTAGATCTACGTCATGAGCTCACCTCACTCTGATAAGCTGTGAGCGGTAAATTTTGGCCTAGATATGAGAGAATACATCTATGCGGTATGTGTGCACCATATAAAACAAATCCTGCAGCACAGTGCATAATGAGAGAAAAAAATTGAGATCGTTATTTTCGATTGAAACATCGACTTTGCAGTGTTTTTTCGTATGTTTTTTGTAGTTGTATTTGCGATTTTTTGGTCTCATTTGATAGAATGGAAGATATATTACAGAAATAGAGATGATTTTGATTGGTTTTAGTACTGGAAATGGCTTGAAACTGAGCTCAAATTAGTAGACATGTTAAATTTTTGCCGATGTTCAACAGTAAACAAATGGCCTCGCACATCTAATACATGCCAGCTGGTGGGTCTAATATACATTCACAAATGTCGTGATATTATTTATACAATTATTACAATATTGCAATACAGTAAATCTTCTATTTTTTGGTTTGAATAAAAATTCATTATGTGAATAAAAAATCAAAATGGAATTCATTAGTAAAGCTTGAAAACATAACTAATGAACAGAGGAAATGTTAGTTTAGTGCCAGGAATGCCTGCATTGTTTATTCTGAACCCTATTTTGAAATTGGAGTATTTTGAACTTTGCATTAAATTGGCCAAATCACCAATTTCCAATCACTTTATTTTGTAGTTGAAACAGTTGCCCTGGCGAATTCTTGTGCTCAACCAATAGAATAGAAGTAATACTAGTGAAATACCTAAGAATTTGGTTGACTGGAATAATGTAATTGGCCTAAAATGGGAGTCAAAGTCGGCAAAATCACCGATGCGTGTCGCTGACACATCAAAATTCGCAAGAGCACAATTTTGTCAATTTTCCATCAAATTTCGTACTTTTTGTTTTATTACCTTCAGAAAAAGATTCTCTACCATTTCATAAGAAAAAATAGCAAAATTATTTTTTGAAAATTCTTGGACACTGGTGCACACTTTGAAATTTGGCCTCTGGACCCTGAAAGGGTTAAAAGTTTTCATATGCTTAAAGACAGAACCAATATTTTATTAGTCTATTCTCTCAGAGTGATCAAATATCTCTTATAAAAACTTAAATTTAATGTAATTTACTTGTTTGAAATTAACAAACCAGATCCTTCAGCATAATATGGCCATGTTATAGATAAATTATTTTTAATACCCTTGTATACAAAATTTTTTATTTGTAAGTAATTATGGCAAAGGTTATATTCAGAATTCCTAACATTATCAAATGCTATAAATACCATATACATTCAGTATTTTATATTCCAGAGGTGATAGAATACCTAATATTATCAAACACTATAAATTCCATATATATTTAGTGTTTTATATTACAAATTTCAACCATAAAATGGCTGTTTTTTGTTTTTGTTTTTAAACTTAAACATTCATTATTGGTTTTGTGTACCATATTTTGTATCATATACACAGCACCAAAATTATTTATGTAGTATAGTGTATATATTCATTCTCCAAGTGTTTGCGTTGTTCAAGTACAGGAATACTAAGATTCCAAGCCTGACCTTCACTGTCTAGGATGCAGGGTGATTTTGAGGGTCAATGTGTGAAGAAAAGGATGCATATTAGTTGCTGCAAAATATGGTATAACACAATGATACTTCAAATTTGTTATTCTTTTATTAATTTTTGTGCATATACACAAATTTCAATGAAATATGAGCACATTGATAGAATACAGCCTCTCCTCGCTTAGCAACACGCTCGTTTACCAATGCCTCAGACTTACGATGGGCTCTCTGAGCAGTATTTTTACCTAAAGAATGTATATTAGAGCTGATTTCCTCTATTCTGTTTAAACATTTAAAAATACACCAGAAATGTTATAAATGGTGCAAATGTGACATTAACACAATATCAAAGATGGTTGACACAAACCCACTACCATTATAGTATGCTCCTCACTTAGTGACGAATTCGTTTAACCCCTTAACTGTCCAAACATAGATCTACGTTCTTATGCTAGTGCTCCAAATGCAGGTCAATGTTTTATTTTCCTGCCTCCAAATTTGGGACGATTGGCCTGAGATGCCTGGTCAGTACAGAATGGGTCTTAACACTCAGTGTGTGTGTGCAGTATTAAAAAAATCTGGGACCACTTAGTACCTTGTGGGAGCACCAGTTCAACTGAGCACCAGCTAGAGCAAAGAGCGTGGCAAATACCAAGGATTCACTGATGTCATGTCGTATTAATACTCCTCTTTTAAGAGTAAAGTGATGCTGAACCCGAGTTTAGTGGTTTTGAGATGGATGTGGCCACAGGTGGTCGAGGAAATATCAGAAACCTCAATAATAACCCATGTGCAACATTTGTGAAACATCCTGCCAGAATGTCCTATAGCCTATGCTGTAAGTAAAGAGAAACAATTCTGGAACATGTGTAATATGTGTCTGGCTGGTTGGCCAGGTGGCTGGCTGGCCAGGTGACTGGCTGGCCGGGCGGCTAGCTGGCCGGGTTGTTGGCTGGCTGGCTGCTGATTGACTTTGGCCATCTCTGTCTCCCTGTATCTATGTCTGTCTCTATCTCATCGTGTGTAATACAGAAAGACAAGCAAACAGAGACAGGCAGACAGACACACAGGCAGACAGAAAGACAGATAAGCAGAGACAGAGCTAGACCAATAGACAGACAAATAGACATGTTTATATGTAACGGCAAAAACAAATGAAGCCAAGGCAGTGCATTATCATCAAGTGTCAATCCACTGCTGCACTGTCAGCAGTGGCATGACACTCATTTTACACAATGCTTCAAGGAGTTTCATATATACTCCAGCATGTTTAAAACATTTCTGGGATCTATAAATACTTGGTATATATTTCTAGACAATAGTATATGACCAAGGCAAGTGAAAATGTTCACCTGTCAGTGTGTGACTATTTGAATACTATTTCAAAACAAATATTGGCTATAAAATCACAAGAACTATTACAAATTGTAATTATAAGAACATACAATTTATATAAATTAAAAAAAAAAAAGCGAAATAAGGTATATCGGCACCACTTCTGCAAGCGGCAGGACTCTATGTTGCTGTCGTGAGTTTCCAGCTCCAACTTCTCGGTCTTATATATCTGTAAGTACTGACTCTAATTTTTTTTTTTTTTTTTTTTTTTACATTATTTTATGTAAAAATGAGTCCTCTATTAAATTTTTTTTTTTTTTCAAAGTATTCGGAGCACTATGCAAGAGAGCTTAGGTCTGTGTTTGGACAGTTAAGGGGTTAACAACGTGGTCTTAGGAATGGAACCCCGTCGTTAAGTGAGGAGAGGCTGTACTTCGTAACATTAGTGTTAAATCAAAAGTCTATTAATCCTTCACATTTTCAGATGAAAAATCGAGCAGTGACACAGTGGAGGAATGGGGGCGAGCTTTCCCTTTCTTTCTGCTAGTTTTCTTCTCCAAGACAACCTTAAAGTTTCCTCAAGCAAGTGCGAGAAAAAAAATTTGTGTTCTGTTTCAGGAACAAAGGTTGAAAGACAATTACTCAAAGCCTCATAGATTGCAGGTTTCAAAGGAGTGTGGTTTTTGTGACTTGATCATGTAACCATTCTTTGACTAGGTAAATCATGGTGAAAAAGTGAAATCACTTAGTAACTGGCAAGACCTGAGGTATTTCTATATAGATAGTTTTTTAATAGTTTGTTTTATATAGTGGGAGATATGGAATGAAATGCTTGTTGAAGACTTTTTATAATGTAATTTTTTGATATGTCAGATTAATTCATGTACAGTATTTTCATCTTTAATAAGAGAAAATAAAATGTTACACAACAAATTGAAAGAGCCAGAGAATAAATATCATATGATTTAGTCACATCAACAATATACAAATACATTGTGTTTTGGTAAAATTAAATGTGGACAAATTGTGAATATTCAATTCTAACCTTCACATTAGGAATTTCTTGTAACTCGTAGCTTAATAGAAGGAATGAAGTGCAAGACGAGTGAGAGTGAGTGTACGTGTTTGAGAGAATGAGTATGAGAGGAAGATAGTATATCTGCCCAATTTTGTACCTGATTCCTAATTTAAATGTATGTAGAATACTTATCAATTAATATACATTAAAGTCACAGTGATGAACGTCGAATGCAAATTCATATTGGCTTTTATTAAGGATTGCCAAATGTGAGTTTTTAAAAATTCTGTGCCCAATTAGAGTACAATGTTTTTTCTTAAGCTTTCTATTATATAATGGATTAAAATTTAATAATTGTTGTCAATCTTTTTAAAAATTAAAGGAATGATAATTTTTTGTGAGATATACATAGCTTTTGTAAAATATTTTTCAGTAAAAGAGTATTGTGCTTGAGTATATCAGGTAGTTATTTGAACAATATATTATTTGTGCATGCCTCAGACAGGTCTTTACTTTGCTTCCATATAATTTTTATCATTTTTGTCAGTGAAGATGAATGACCACTTTTAAAGCAGTTACTTTTACCTGAAAGTAGGCATGTAATTGGGTTATTATTTTTATATTTGAAGTCAAAATATTGGTTAGGTTTAGAAAACAAAGGGGAAGGTGTGTAAATTCAAAATACCTGAAATGAATTTTCTTTGTTAAGCAGTACATAGTAATTAGTATGGGTTGTTACTTATAGAATATATACAAAATGATAATTGAATAACAACATTAAACAGTTCTAACAAAGCATATCCTAGTTATCACACAACTCACCCTCTATATTTAAGTTTAAATTTTTATATTTTTCACAGTTCTTTACAAGTTTCTTTGCATATAGTGTTTTAATATGCATACAAAGTAAATAATGAACAAGTTATTCCTTTAAATTAAGTAATTTGAAACCAGTTCTGTTCTTGGTACAGTAAATCATTGATTTTCTGGCAGTCAAATTTTCAGTATTCAGCATTATCCAACAGTCTTGTACAGTCTGGCAAAGAGTTGAATCCAGTGATCGCCAGAAAATTTCTACCTCAGAATGGTGGTCAGTAGCCACATGATCACTCTTGGATATCAAAGAGATGAATGTTTAAATCATCAGTGAGTATCCTAGAATAATGAAAATCAATATTTTGTTAGTGATGCTTTGTATGTCAGAAAATATACTCTAAAATTAATAAAAAATATATTTCCATTGTTTTCTGTTATTTAATTAACAGTATTTTCATGTCTAAAATGTTCAAACAATTTTAAGTCTTATCATGAATACTGTAGTGTACACACCAGATAACCTAGGGGAAGAAGAATTAGAAGGCCCCACAACTGGACAGATGGGAATAGGAGGGGTGGTGGCCAGGAAGAATGCGTGGAGGATGGAGGCATTCGAGAAACAAGGAACTTGGGAAAAGGCCACAGGGCCAGGCTAGTGACCAGTCTGGATAAAGGATGCAATATTGGTTGGGATGCAAGATATCTGGGGTGAAGACCTTACTGCCAAACCTATGGCCATGCGAGGATGGGAATGGTCAAGAAGCCTGGGGAGGAGATCCCAGAATTATGCAGGTAGGCTTTTGGGTAAAAAGGGTGAGAAAGCAGTTAAGAAGCCTGGCATCCTGGATGAGACACATCAGCAGCACTGAGTAGATAACTGTGGCAGATCCTAAAGAAGCTTCAGGGAGGAGGCCCAGAGTGACTGGTTGCTATAAGAGGATATATGGAGTAAATGATTGAAAAGTCAAGGAGTCTAGTAGATGTGAGGAGGAAAGCAGGCTCCAGTGCTGGGAAAGCAGCTATGAAGGGATGAGGATGGGAAATGGTCGAGAAGCTAGAGAGCCTGAGGAGTCGGTGACCAGGCTTGTGGGCTTTGGATGGAAGGGAAAAAATTGGAGGACATTGATTAGAAGGTAAAGAGCATGGGTTGGGAGGCTCCATGGCTAGGGAAGAGGATACAGCTAAGATGCCAGGGAGCCTAGGAGTGGAGAGTGTGAAGATCACGGAGTTATCTCCACACTTGGTGTTCTTCGAATTTCAAAACTCCCTTTGGTTCATTTCTATCCCTCTCCTGTGCTCCCTCCAGATGTTTCCATTCTCTTCCTTCCTCACTCCTTTCCTCTTTTCTACCACTATCTGCCCCCTTTCCTTCTTCCTTTCCCCCTTCTCTGACATACAAAGCCAATAAACTGATAATGCTAGAAAGGAGTGTGAACAAAAATAATAACCACGAAAGACAATTCATTATCCAGAACTTTTGAAAATCCATTGCACCCTTTCTCTTTCAGCATTAGATAATCAATGATTTACTGTGTGTGTATACTAATATATATATATATATATATATATATATATATATATATATATATATATATATATAGTATACACACACTATATATATATATATATATATATATATATATGAGCCATCTCTGGATCGATTTTTTGCTCTGAGTTATGAGCCAACATTTGAGTTACGAGCCAACATTTGAGTTATAAGCCAGCTCCCCCCCCCTCAACCCAATACTTGGACACCTCGCTTGTTTATCTATGATTTCATGCTTTAATTCCATGGAAATCATTCTCTTTTTTTCTTCTCAGCACTGTCCTTTACACTTACTTTCTTAGGACCCATGCTTAGAAAAAACTAAATTTGGCCAAATGACTGCCAAAAATGTAAGCAAAGCATGAGAGAACTACTCCCACAGCGAGGTAAACAGTGCACTGAGTTGGCGGCGTTCATTATTATAATAATTATTATTAGTGTTATTATTATTATTAATTTAGGTAACTAGAGCACAGATCTAATTCCCTAGATCAAGAGCCTCTCACCAGCGTCAAGGTTCTTTGACGCTGTTGAGGGGCTCTTGATCTAGGTAATTGGATCTGTGCTCCAGTTCCCTAAATTAATATTATTATTATAATGATGAGCTTCAGTTCCCTTAATTAATAATAATAATACATAATATGTACGTAATAATAATTCAGAATGCTGCCACTAGTTGGCACAGCTGATGCCAAAACCATCGCTGTGGGAGCAGTTCTCTCATGCTTGTTTTCATGTTTTTACAGTCATTTGGCTGAATTTTTTTTTTCTAACCATGGGTCCTAAGAAAATAAGTGCTGAGAAGAAAAAGACAACAATTTCCATGGACTTAACCAGGCAATACATCATAAGCCATATCCTCAACATCCCCCACCCTCAGCATCCCCCACCCTCAACATCTCCCACCCTCAACCTCCCCCACCCTCAACCTCCCCCTTCATCTCTACTCCAAGTGTGTAAGTACAGTGGACCCTCAACCAACGGCATTAATCCATTCCAGAGAGCTTGCCGTTAGTCGAAAATGCCGTTGGTCGAATTAATTTTCTCCATAAGAAATAATGGAAATAGAATTAATCCATTCCTGACACCCCAAAGTCTGAAAAAAAAATTTTTTTTTTTACATGAAATATAAATTTCCTGACACGAAAATGAATGGGACATGCAAAATAAACCATAATTAAATGCCACTTCCCTTTATTGTGGAATTGTTGATGAGTGATGTGCCAGCAGCAGGGGAGATTCAGGATTGTCTATTGCTTGGAAGGAGAATCCCCTTCCATAAAGACTTCAGGTACCAAGTCCTTTGGTGGGGTTACCTCCCTTCTTAGTTTTTTAATGCCACTTGGACCAGCCTGAGAGTCACTGGACCCCTGTCACACAAAATAACTGTCCAGAGAGCTCTGTTACTCACAAGTCCTTAGGATTTCCCTAAAACGGGACACAAGAGTGTCATTGTTCATGTTGCCAATGCGGCTTGCAACTTCTGTGACAGGATAAAATTCATCCATAAATGCTTACACCTTTGTAAACATTGAGCACATTTCCCTAATCATTGACAAAGTCATCTTCCTCCATCTCTTCATCCTGCTCTGAAGAACATTCCTGAGATGTGATCTGTTGCTGTTGCACCTGAAGCTCTTGCAGGTCTGCAGTGGTTAGTTCTTCCTCGTCGTTCTGCAACTCTTCCACATCTTCGTCACAAACCTCCAACCCCAAGGACTTCCCCAATGACACAATAGCTTCCACTACTGGCATAGGCTCCTCAGGGTTAGCCCCAAATCCTTCAAAATCCCTCTGTTCTACACATTCTGGTCACAGTTTCCTTCAAGCAGAGTTCAAGGTCCTCTTAGTCACTCCCTCCCAAGCCTTATAGGTAAGGCTTGGGAGGGAGTGACAGCTGAGGATATTGAAGTGATCTTTCCAAAACTCTCTTTGAGTCAATTGAGTGTCTGAGGTCACTTCAAAACACTTTTGAAACACTGCTTTTGTGTAGAGTTTTTTAAAGTTTGAAATGACCTGCTGGTCCATGGGCTGGAAGAGAGGAGTTGTATTAGGAGGCAAAAACTTCACATTAACGAAACCAAACTCCCCTGCAATTTTCTCTTGCAAGTCGTGAGGATGAGCAGGAGCAGTGTCCATTACCAGGAGGCACTTGAGCGACAATTTCTTTTCCTGGAGGTATTTTGTCACAGTGGGGCCAAACACACCATAAAACCGGTCCAAGAAAAATTCCCTAGTGACCTATGCCTTACTGTTTGATCTCCACACTCTGGGAGTATCAGAGTGATACACCAATAAAGGTTTCACTTTGCAATCACCACTAGCATTACTACACAACATTAACCCTTTCAGAGTTTCCAACATACTAGTACGGCTTACGCACCAGGGTTATTTACGTACTAGAACGCCTAAATTCTAGCACCTTCAAATCTAGTGAAAGCTGGTAGGCCTACATATGAAAGAATGGGTCTATGTGGTCAGTGTGCGCAGTATAAAAAAAAATCCTGCAGCACACAGTGCGTAATGAGACAAAAAATATTTAGTGTTTTGGGATTAAAACAGCGACTTTGCACTGTATTTTCATATGGTATTTATTGTTGTATTCTAGTTTTCCTGGTCTCATTTTATAGAATGGAAGACATATTACAGAAATTGAGATTTGACTGGTTTTACAATGAAAAGTACCTTGAAATTGAGCTCAAAGTAGCAGATACGTTCGATTTTTATCAAAGTTCAAAAGTAAACAAATGCTAAGCCTCCAATACACATCAACTGGTGAGTCAAATATTCTTTCACAAGTGTGCCGATATTATTTATATCGTTTCTACACTAATGCAGTAGTCTGCATAACAGTAAATCTTCTATTTTTTGTGAGAATAAAAGTTCAAAGTGGAAGGCAAAAGAATGTAAGAGGGGCGTGGGGACATGACTAATGAACAGAGGAAATGTTATTTTAGTGCCAGGAATGTCTTTCTTGTTTATTCTGAACCCTATTTGGAAATTGGCATCTTTTGAAACTTGTGTGAAATTGGCAAAATTGCTAATTTCTGACCACTTTATTGGATAGTTGAAATCGGTAAATGGGTGGTTTCTTGTACTCAGTCGATAGAAAAAATGGAGTTCTTGCAAAATAGTTATGATTTTTGTCAATTAGTACACTGGATTGGCCGAAAATAGGGCTCAAAGTGGGCAAAAATCGCCGATGCGTAAACATCGTCAAGACCGCTAATTTCACGAGAGCATAATTCTGTAAGTTTTCCATCAAATTTCATACTTTTGGTGTCATTATGACCGGGAAAAGATTCTCTTATCTTTTCATAAGAAAAAATAATTTTTTTTTTTTTTTTTGAAAATTCGGTGACCCTGAGAACAAGTCTCGGAGAGGGCCTGGCGAACCTGAAAGGGTTAAGATTCTTAATATCAGAGCATAAGTCAA